ATGCTCTATGATATCTAGCATCTTCCTCGACTGCGAGAATACCAGAGTTCTGTGTCCCTCATCTCGCAGCCTTTCTAGAAGTCCTACAAGGAACAGCATTTTCCCAGACTCCTGAATCACAGTCTCTTCAGACAGATGATCTATTTTGTTAGCTCCTGCAAGTATACCTGTTTCACTCCTGTAATCCTGCTCAGAGTATTCATGTCCTTCTAAGCCCAGCTGGATACATGCTCTTGCGGACAGAAGCCTGGGGTGGTCACACAGCTTCTTCAAGACAGTCAACTCAGCTAGAGGTGAGCGGGTAGTCATTAGCACTTCTTTCAAATGATCCAGAGAGAGAAAGTTCCTGTAGATTTCCTCTTGTATTGGTGCTAAATACACCCACACAACAAAGTCATTTTTCCTAGTAAGAGACGGCATGACAGGAGCACTATTTTCACTTGGATCCTCAGGAAGAGGAGCATCCAGTTTGTCAGCATTGCAGTTTTTTTTGATATCTTCTTTAGTTCTTCTGAGGAAATACGGCTTTATAATGGTCATTAGATTCTCAGATATCTTAAGGCCCAGTGCTTTCTCTCCCAGAGTTGCATCCTTCTCCCTTGCCCTCGTAATAGGGTTCTCATATTCCATTTTAAATGTTTTGGCTGTTCCTAGGAGAGAGCCTTGGCATGCAAAGTCAAACAAGGACCACATTTCCCGTAGGTTGTTTTGCACTGGGGTGCCCGTGAGGAGGAGGCGATGTTTAGCAGGAATAGCATACACACATTTTGTCGTTTTGTTTGATGGACACTTGATTTTGTGCGCTTCATCAAGAATGATGTAGTCCCAGATAAACTCCTCTTCATGGCTGCTGGCAAGCTGCTTCCAGTTGTTAATAAGCATCTGGTAGCTTGTGATAACAATGCCATTCTTCCTCTGGACCCTCTCCAGGTTCCTGGTGCGCTCTGCCTTGCTGGTGCCGTGGAACTCCTTGACGCGCAGGCCAGGGGTCCAGCGAGCAAACTCTGCCAGCCAGCTGCTGACCAGCGTGGTGGGCATGATGAGCAGGACATGCTGGACAAGGTCAGCGTCAAACATGCCTGAGAGGAAGGCGATGATCTGGATGGTCTTGCCCAGGCCCATGTCATCAGCCAGGATGCCACCGGGCCTGCCCTCCCGGTGCAGGCGGTACAGAAAAGCAACACCTTCCCGCTGGTGCTGGAAGAGCTTCCCGTGCATCTCCCCGTAGAGCAGCAGTCCGCTGCCGCACACGTCCACGAAGCCTTCCTCCTCCTCCCCATCCTCCTCCGCCGCTGCCGCCTCGGCCAGCGCCGCCTCCACGCGCCGCATGCGGCCACCCAGCTTCTCGCCGGGGCGGGCCCCG